TATCTGAGAATTGATACCTTTCCCCAGTTTGGGGATGATGTCAAACTGGTTTTTTTGTTTTTTTTTTTTTTTGAGGTATTGCTTCTGCTCTATTCTCTCCTTCCTTTCTGGGACTCCAATTTCATGTCTGTTAAAGTGACATTTTAACTTTATTCTCTGTATTTCTTTCCTTCTTTTCTATATTTTCCATCCTTGTTTATCTTTCTACTTTTTCTTGAACATATTCTTTTAAGCTGTCTTCCAATTACTTCCTAAACTGTGTCTAATCTGGGCTGGTTTACCCACTCAGTTGAGCTCTTAATTTTGGTTATCATATTTTTCAAGTTTAGAGTTTCCATTGGTTTCTTTTTATGGTTTCTAATCCTTTCTCAAATTTCTCAACCTTCTTTTCTATTGTTTTGTACACAATTAGAATTTTAAAAATTCTTTTAGATCCATTGTCTGATGACTCTTTAATAGTGAGACCCTGTGTGTCTGCTTATCGTTTGTTGTTTCTATGGCTTTAATTCATGTTACTTTATCTTCCCATGGACTTTTACATGTGTGTATGTGTCACATATTTATTTTTTAGAGCAATTTGAGGTCTAGTCTAATATCTTTCTTCTGAATTACCCTTATTCCTAAGAGGCAGCCTTTGAAGTCTCTATCCAAAATGAAGGGTGTTCACCAGGGCTTCTCCAGTCCTTGCTGACTTAATATATCTTTCTTTGAATTTAAAGACTGTCCCAGGGCATTCAGTCTCCCAGCTACCTCTCTGGAATTGGCAGATGCCTCTAGGGGAAGGGTGGTTCCAAGTGCCAGTCTCATCTTTCTGCATCCATATCTTCCCCCATTCCCATCTCAGTAAATATTTATTCTTTTGTTTTCCAGTGTCTTCAAGCTGATTTAAAAAAAGTATGTATCCAGCTTTTCTTGCTGTCCTTAGCGGGAGGCTTGATCCAAATTACTTAATTCTCTATTACTGGTAACAGAAGACTGTCTTCAGATTTCTTGGTATAAGAGATAGATTATATGGTAACTGAGTTGGGATTTTCCATTTTTAGCTAAGGACATTTCCATTTAAAACGTCCTTATATAATTAGTATAAAAAGATAGAAGTTCTTTCTTTGTAACCTTGAATATAGAATGATGGACCACTTTTGAAGGTCAGAGAAAGAATTATTTTATGAGGCCTTTCTATCTATGACACTAGATATCTATTTGGAGGACTACCATACTGTATTTTTCAAGATTATTATTGATAAGTTGATTACTACTGAATTAGAGAACTGGATATGTTATATGTACAGAGTACTTGAAAACAGATAAAAAATTCATTCTGACCTTGGTTAGTTTCACACAAATTGGCAGTTAGTTTTCTGTGATTCTTAACTATTCGTAGAGGAGAAAATTCTGGAAAAGGCTCTTGGCAAATGCAACCCAGGGGCTCATAACTTTGAGTCAAGGATTTCTTTCCAGTATCTAACTACTGTCTTTAAGCCTATTTATATTCAGTCATCACAGAAATAGAGAACATTAGTGATTATCGTGCATACTAGAGTCCATTTTCATTAGTATAGGGTTCACAATCTAAGACAAAATCTGTGTGAACAAAGGTGTGATGTGCATATTTATTCAGGAGCTAGCTGGAGTAGAATATTTTTGGCAGATGGTAGGAAATGAGATTACACAAGGTAGATTGGGGCTGATTGTGTAGTGCTTTGCAAGACTGGGGTGTTTTGATTTTGTCTCATATATGGGAGCTTTTGAGTGAGAATGAGAAATCAAATAACAGTTTCTGACTATTAATCTGGCAGTGTTTGGAGGGTAGACTAGAGAGAGAAAATATTGGAAGCAGGGATAATAAAAAGCTCTAATAGTCTAGTTACGAGATGATAGAAGCTTGACTTTTTGTGGTTAAGTAGGAATGGAATGCATTTTAAAGAAAGAGTATTTGTTGTTCATACATGGGAAGTTGAGAGAGAAAGCAGAGAAGACTTTGAGGTTGTAAGTGTAGATGAATGGTTGCATAATACTGGTATCAATATCAGAAGCTGGAAAGTAAGGATGTTGAAGGTAGATTGAAAGCAAGGGTAATGAATTTGGTTTAAGATAATTTGAATACAGGGTGATAGAATTGTTCATTATCTGAAAAACAGTTTGTAGTTGTTAAAAAGAAAATTTAACAGTAAAATGTTGAAAGTGCAAGGTGCAAGTTTTCCTGTCAGGGAGTCCCCCCATTATTATTTCCCCAGAAATTACCACTATTCGCTGCTTGGTGTACCACTATTTGACTCTTCTTATGCGTATGTAAACATATGTGTGTGTGTATCTGTCATTTATACTCTTCACCATGCTGTGAGGACAGATCTAACTTGTCCTTTTTAATGTATAGTATAGATAAACCTTTATTTATGGAAGTTTAGCTTATTTCTGATTTTTTCATTTTTTTAATTAAAAAAGTCACAAAGAAAATTCTTACATAGTAATTACATTTGGGTACTCATCCAGCTATTGTCATAGAATAAATTCCTAGAATTGGGCCAGGGGATAAGCAGATTTATCATTTTGATACAGGTAACTTTGCAGAAAGCTTACTATAGATGTGTGCGTGTGTGTGTGTGTGTGTGTGCACGCGCACGCACGCAAATTAACGTATTTTTAGTGGTATGAGGGGAAAGTATATCATGCGTGTGGGTATGGTACCTACTGGTGATGTGTGTTGGTATATTCTAGCTTTATTATTCAAAAAATTAACATATTAAAAAGTAATGAAATTGCAAACATCAACTTGGAACAGGAGAAATCCTCCTGGTTTGGGAAAATACAAGAGGGCAGTACACATATGTTTGCATAGAAACTAGAATTGGAGATGAGGTAATGGTGGTGGTGATTGAGAAAGGGATATTCTGAAATTAGTGAAGTCCTGGAAAGTACGTCTAGTGAATATTTCAGTGCCAAGAGGGAAGGAGATAAATCATTTTATTTTCCAGAAACTTTCAGGTCTTTATAAATTTTATTTCTGTGAGGACTTAACTCTCATTTTAGGGTAGGGGTCAGTGAGAATGTTTACTGGAAGTTAACTGGAATACAGAGGAAAAAAATATTCATTTTATCTTGGAAATCTTTCTTTCACTAGTAGTAGGACTAAAGGGTAACTTGATTTTTCTAATGTAGTGTAAGCTTTTAGCTAATTAAAACTAAAACCTCATAATGCCTTTTGATGATATTATTAGAAAGTATTAGATATGTTTATTGTATGTTTCTGTCTCTTAAAAATTAATTTGCATCAAAGAGCAGAATCAAAATTACATGCCAGGGCTTCCCTGGCGGTGCAGTGGTTAAGAATCCGTCTGCCAATGCAGGGGACACGGGTTCGAGCCCTGGTTCGGGAAGATCCCACATGCTGTGGAGCAACTAAGCCCATGCGCCACAACTACAGAGCCTGTGCTCTAGAGCCCGCGAGGCACAACTACTGAGCCCGCATGCCACAACTACTGAAGCCCACGCACCTAGAGCCCGTGCTCCGCAACAAGAGAAGACACTGCAATGAAAAGCCCATGCACCGCAACGAAGAGTAGCCCCCGCTTGCTGCAACTAGAGAAAGCCTGCGCACAGCAACAAAGACCCAACACAGCCGAAAATAAATAAATAAAATAAATAAATTAAAAAAAAATTACATGCCACTTTTATGATCCAGTTTATTAACTCCAAATGTATAT